GCTACAGACCAGATGATAATTCCACTTACAGTAATAACAGACACCTCTCCCTGAAATGATACACATGCTGAGGACGCAACTGCCTAAAAAAGACAAAGAACATAATGAAAAAGGATCTTAGCCTAGAAAATCAAGTTCTGGAGTCAGCGTGCAGGCAGCTAAACAATAGCAAGGGACAGGAACACACTTGTAGGAGTAGTTTAAGAGACCTCTAGCAATTACACATCGGAAATAGTGCAAAATTCAGAAAACCAAAAAGCTGCATTCACCAAGGGTAATGCTATAATTACAAGAGGCTAATTCTCAGACTGGGAAACAGGAATCAAGAAAACTTTCTTCTGGTTGGAATCATACTTTGCACAAAGGAAGATGGTTGAAGATTTTGCAGAGTACCTCAGACAAATGTCCTTTGCTGAACTATCTTTTGATGTCAACAACCTACCCTCCATCATAACATCAGCAATGGGGATGCTCACTGATGATTTGAGTAACAAGCAAACAAAATGAGAGTAAATTACCAATAATCAGAAATAGACAAGTACTTCGACAAGCACATAATGGGGAAGAGTTCAGCAAAAGTAAGGGTCCTTAGAAACAGAGACAGAAGAAATTCAATGAGCAATAAAGGGTAGCAGAGACACTAAACAAGACAAGCTTATTTTTGTCACAGATACAGAATGGAACCATGGGTTAAATTATAGCGAGAAAAAAGGCAACTGATAGCAAATAAAAGTACGGGGAAATTTAAGGGACCAGAAGTTGCCAATTCCTGCAAACCATGACATCTTACATGGTGAGGTCTTAACAGAAGTGACTACAGTAGTAGTTTTGGCTTTGATCCTCCAGAATTTCAAAAGTCCTTGTACCTAACACCTCAGTAGATGCAAGTCATTTCAAACTTCAACTTGTAAACTCGAGCCTACCCATTTCTTTCTCCAACTGCACCAGCACCTTGACTTTCAGTCTGTAATTACTTTTTTTAACGTCCAGTTCCCTGAACTGTCCTGAGCATCCCGTTTTAAAATAAAACTTTGCAATAAGTAATAAATGCCCCTATTGCAGGATAGAATAGAAAATTACCGTCTAACCACTCAGGAATGCAGTGCACTCCAAAATGTTACATTTCACAGAGAATGCTACCTTCCCTGGTACAAATGGACACACAGGCAATTGATTTTATCACAAACATCGTATCATTGGCCAAAGCCTGAGGTGCAGTTATTGGCAACAATGTATCTTGTTTGCTAATCTCAGGATTGTACTGACAAAGACCTCAGCATTTGCAAGCCAGAATTTCACAGCAAAACCTTCTATTCACGGAAACTGACAAATTCCATGTTATTGACACTGCATAAATGGTAGCTAGAAGCAGAAATAACTTTGGTATAAGAGAATTTGTCATGTTCTAGGTCAATACAATTCTGACGTTGACCATGGTCTAGATCAGCCAACCTACTACGAGCAACCTTATCAATGTCTAATTTCTAGATGGTGATTTTGGCTTTGGTGTGTTAACACATCCCACACCAGCTGAGGTTATCATGAAGAGCACTCCTCCTTAACCTCTCCCCTGGGGCATGGTGATCTTCAGGTTAAACCAACACCAGTCACCTCTCTTTCTCAGGAGTCTATGGTCCGGTAGCACTACGACAACATTAACTTTATTAATTTAGTCAACTTTGAAATAACAAGTGTTGCAAATATAACACTCCTGTGGAGACCAATCAAATCTAACAATGCCTTAATATTCATCACACATGCAAGCCATTGTAAAGACAAGGAACATATTCAAACTTTTAGCATGAAATGCAATCAGAAAGGCAATGTGGAATTGGGCTCCCACGTGTAGCAGAACCAAAGAATGTTAATAAGCATGCAGCATACTGTTGGTAACAAGACAGTCAGGAGTAGAATTGACATTAAAGAGCTCAGGCCTTTTTACTGCATTCACCTGCATAAATTCACCAGGAGGACTGCAGCGGTTCAAGAAGGCAGCTCACCACCACCTTCAAGGGCAACTAGGGATGGGCAAGAAATGCTGGCCAGCCAGCGACGCCCATATCCAAATGATTAGAAAAAAATGTGCTGATAGAAGGCATGCTGATATGGTTTCTTTCAATAAATAAATTCAGAAGCTGCTGCCTTATTTGTTCTGGGTGCATCTCCAAGAATCTTGGATAACGAGGGAGGTTGTGAATTCAGTCAAAAGGAAAAGCAGCAGCATATATAAGGTTAAGGAAGCTAAAATCAGACAGGGCCCCATAAGGAATATAAAGAAAGCAGTAAACAACTCAAGCAGGAAATTAAGAGAGCAAGAAGGGGCCTTGAAATGACCTTGGCAAGTAGGGTTAAAGAGAATACCAAAGCATGCTATACATACAAACAAAAGGATAATTAGGGAGAAGGCAGGACCACTCAAGGATAAAAGTGGGAACTTGTGCTTGGAGGCAGAGGATGCAAACAAGATCCTAAATGAATACTGTGTGTCAGTATTCGCCTCGGAGAACTATATGGAGGATAGTGGAATTAGTGTGGAGCATGCTAATACGCTAGGGCATTTGAAATCAAGAAATAAGTGCCGCTGGGTCTCTTGAAGAGCATTAAAGTGGCTAAGTCTCCAGGGTCCGAAGGTATCTACCCCAGGTTATTTGGAGAAACAAAACAGAAGATTGCTGTGGCCTTAACCAAAATCACTAGCAACTGGAGAAGTACCAGAGAACTGGTGCATAGCCAGTGCTGTTCCTCTGTTCAAGAGGAGAAATAAGGATAATCCAGGAAATAGACCGGTGAGTCTCACATCATCAGGGTTTGGAAGTTACTGGGGAGAATTCTTAGGGATAGGATTTATGCGCATTTGGAAAAGCATAGCCTAATTAAGGACAGTCAGCATGGCTATGTGCATGGCAGGTCATGTCTTACTAACTTGACTGAATTTTTCAAGGAAGTGCCAAAGATGATCAATGAGAGTGGAGCAGTTGACCACATGAATTTTAGTAAAGCTTTTGACAAGGTCCCTCATGGTAGGCTCATCAACAATAAGATGCATAGGATCCACTGTGAATTGGCCACTTGGGTTCAGAATTGGTTTGCCCATAGAAGGCAGAGGGTAGTGGTGGAAGGGTGTTTTTCTGGCTGGAGGTCCATGAATAGTGGTGTTCTGCAGGGATCCGTACTGGGTCCTCTGCTGTTTGAGATATACATAAATGACTTGGATGAAAATATGTGTGTGGGTTAATACGTTTGCAGACAATACAAAGGTCAGTGGAGTTGTGGATATTGTGGAAGGTTGTCAAAGGATACAGCAGGATATAGATCAGTTGCAGATATGGACGGAGAAGTGGCTGATAAGAGTTTAATCTGCTGCACTTTTGGAGATCAAGTGTTAAGGATAACTATATAGTTAACGCTAAGACCCTGAACAGCATTGAAGTACAGAGAAATCTTGGGGTTCAAGTCCATAATTCCTTAAAAGTAGCCACTCAAGTTGATAGCACGGTAAAGATGGTATGCTTGCCTTTATTGGTCAGGGAATTGAGTACAAGAGTCATGCTGCAGCATTTTTAAAAGACTTTGGTTAGGCCACATTTAGAGTATTACATTCAATTCTGGTTGCTACATTATTGGAAGGACATGGAAGCTTTGGAGAGGGTGCAGGAGAGGCTTACCTAATTCT